GCTCCTGGCCCACTGGTGTGCCCACGCCGGCAAGAAGCCCTTTGCCTGCGCCGACTGCAGGGAGACCTTCCACCACAGCTTCAGTTTCCTCCGGCACTGCCATGTCCACCCACGTGAGAGGCCACACTTCTGTGGGCACTGCAGCAGGAGCTTCAGCCACAGCTCTGACCTCAGCCAGCACCTCTGTAAGCACCACTCCAAGGGTGATGGGCTGTGCAGTGACGAGGAGAAGGCATTAGATGCTGTAGTCATCCCTAACGCCTGTGATGAGGGCCAGGGGAAATTCAGCCAGCGCTCAGACCTGGTGAGACACACACAGACTCACAGCAACAAGAGCCTGTACGTCTGCAGCGACTGTGGCAAGAGCTTCACCAAGATGTCTGACCTCAACAGGCACTGCCACACCCACATAATCAAGGAGACCTTTGCCTGCAACCTCTGCTGCCAGGCCTTCACTGACAGCTCCACACTCACCCATCACATAGAGACCCACACCAGGGAGAAGCCCTTTGCCTGTGACACCTGCAGCAAGAGCTTCAGTCAGAGCTCTAACCTTACCAGGCGTCGTCACACCCACACTGGGGAGAAGCCTTTTGCTTGTGACAAGTGCAGCAAGAGATTCAGTCACAGCTGGCACCTCATCGTGCACCGCTGCACCCACACTGGGGAGAAGCCTTTTGCTTGTGACAAGTGCAGCAAGAGATTCAGTCACAGCTGGCACCTCATCGTGCACCGCTGCACCCACACTGGGGAGAAGCCTTTTGCTTGTGACAAGTGCAGCAAGAGATTCAGTCACAGCTGGCACCTCATCGTGCACCGCTGCACCCACACTGGGGAGAAGCCTTTTGCTTGTGACAAGTGCAGCAAGAGATTCAGTCACAGCTGGCACCTCATCGTGCACCGCTGCACCCACACTGGGGAGAAGCCTTTTGCTTGTGACAAGTGCAGCAAGAGATTCAGTCACAGCTGGCACCTCATCGTGCACCGCTGCACCCACACTGGGGAGAAGCCTTTTGCTTGTGACAAGTGCAGCAAGAGATTCAGTCACAGCTGGCACCTCATCGTGCACCGCTGCACCCACACTGGGGAGAAGCCTTTTGCTTGTGACAAGTGCAGCAAGAGATTCAGTCACAGCTGGCACCTCATCGTGCACCGCTGCACCCACACTGGGGAGAAGCCTTTTGCTTGTGACAAGTGCAGCAAGAGATTCAGTCACAGCTGGCACCTCATCGTGCACCGCTGCACCCACACTGGGGAGAAGCCTTTTGCTTGTGACAAGTGCAGCAAGAGATTCAGTCACAGCTGGCACCTCATCGTGCACCGCTGCACCCACACTGGGGAGAAGCCTTTTGCTTGTGACAAGTGCAGCAGGAGCTTCAGGCAGAGCTCCAACTTCATTGTACACCACCGCACCCACACTGGGGAGAAGCCCTTTGCCTGTGACACCTGCAGCAAGAGCTTCATTGACAGATACACACTCACCCAGCACTGCCACACCCACACTGGGGAGAAGTCCTTTGCCTGTGACAAGTGCAGCAAGAGCTTTACCACCAAGTCCAACCTGAACAAGCATTGCCACACCCACACTGGGGTTAAGCCGTTTGTCTCTGGTGACTGTGGTGAGAGCTTCACTGGCAAGCCCAGCCTCCCCCATCACATACAGACCCACCCCAGTAAGAAGCCCTTTGCCTGAGCTGACTGTGGGAAGAGTTTCACCATGAAATCCCACCTCACCCAGCACCGCCACACCCACGCTGGGGAGAAGCCATGCGTCTGTGGTGACTGCAGTGAGAGCTTCACCCACAAGTGAAGCCTCACCCGGCACATGCAGAGCCACAACAGTTGGAAGCCCTTTGCCTGAGACATCTGCAGCAAGAGCTTCAGCCACAGCTCCCACCACACCCAGCATGTGTGCACCCTCAACAGGGACCAGACTGTGCTGGGGGACACAAATACACCGACCTCAACGCTCTAGGGTGAACGGGACACCCCTGAGAGTCTGACTAAACAGAAATTGCCTCTTTTCCACCCAGATTTCTCAGAGGCTGGGGGCTCCAGCAGCAGCAAATGCCTTCCTCCCCCACCCCAGACACCTCTTAGTGAGAATGAAAATAATTATGGTGATGAGGTGGCACAGCTAATGACACCATGAAAACTGGGCTGAGCTTTGCCAGGATAGAGCTCATTTTCCCCCAACCATTTAGATTTCCCCTGGGTAAAAATCTCCCGTCCTTTGCCTAGTTGTAATGGGAAAATGATAAATCTAATAAAATACTCTGTTTTTATTATTGTTTTGCCATTTCTTCCTGGGATGATCCAATATCTGGGGCATTTCTTCCTTGGGCTTAGGTGCAGAGCCATGTGCCCAGTTCTGGGAGGGTCTCGGTGGGGTCTTGGGGGGAGCTGGTGTGTCTGGAGGGGTTTCTGGAGTGTCTTGACAGTCTTGGTTGGGGGCTACTCATGGAATCCTGGGGGGACTCAGGGGTTTGGGGCACTACTTAGTGGGTAAGTAGACCTCTGGGCGGGTGTCCTGGTTTGGGGTAAAATAGAACTAGTTCTTCTGAATGATTTGAACTTTTTAGCTCAAGCTCTTCTAATTAAGTGCCTTATCTGAAGTCAGCAGCATTTTTGCAAACTGTCTGGTTTTAGCAGTGATAGGACTTCATGGTTAGAGTTCCTGCCAGGGATTGGGATGCAGACCAAGACCATTGCTAAGGTTGTGTCCCCCATGGAGTGGGGCAGAGAGTACCCCGCATCTGCAGGAAGAAGCGGGCAGGAGAACTGCCCCAAAGGTTCACCAGTGGTGTTGTGGGGAACGGTCCATTTTCTCTTCCCCCCACATAACTTAACAAAATGCCTTTCAAGCCAGCAGAGCAAGCAAAGTGCCTTTTGGCTGATTTAGCCAAGGACGAACTGAGACGCACTCAGATAAGTGCATAACAAGAACTGGTGGAAAAATAGATAACCGGCTAGAAGACTGCCTCTGATGGAGTGTGCATCTGGGCAGTGCTAATTGGCTGAGTAGAACTGTGACTGCTGTCTAAAGAAAGCCAGCTAGCTTGGCAGGCCAGAGAGCTTCTGCATCGGCTGGACTGCTGCAACACCCAGAGCTGCCTGAGCTTGTCAACACTGCTGCTCCCCACCTGAGAGTAGAGAGCCGGGGGGTGGCTGCCCGCAGCCCGTC